CTCTCTACTCTCTCTCCCTCCTCTCCCTCCCCTCTCCTCTCATCCCTTCCCCTCTCCCTCTCCCTCTCCCTCTCCCTCTCCCCCCCTTTAATATCTAGATAATGCAAATACTTGGGAGAAAAGTATGGTACAATTGGGTGTTAAGTCTGACCCCTTGCTACCATGTATAATATATTGCACCTGTAAATGTCACAGAATGCCATTAGACATTGTTAATGACATTGGGTGCACTAGAGAGGAATTACAGTTGCAACATGGTATTTTGTTCTTCAAGATTTCCTTACCAGTGATATACAGTTATATTAGCTTAGGCAGTAAGCTTACTTGACTCTCATGCTTCTTTAGCTTTTAGGCCCAGCCCAAACAAAATCTTATGTGCTGTATCAAGACTCCTTGCCTCCTATTTTGTTATTATTTTTGTTTTTGTATTTTCTGCATAGGCGTTATTTGCTATTTTGACATTTTTCAAGGTCCGTATTAGCTATTTGGTGTGCTATATCAAGATGATAATGAGTTTTTTGTTGATCAGACTCCATATTATCTCTGTTGGTAGTCTACAACTCTATGCAGTAATAATAGTAACAAGAAATAGTTGTTTGTGTCACTCTAATATTTTTGTACTATTCAATTTTTTTTGGTGTGTGTAACACACCTTGTGCTGTCAGTCAAGGTGGGCAGGAGTAGGACCTTGAGCATGGAAATAATGTCCTCAGTGGAGGTGGCACTTCCAGCCATGGCTCATGAATTGTACATTCCACCATCATTTCCTAAATGCCCACTAAGTCTAATTGTCCTCCAAGATCTTTGTGCATTCATTCATTGTTTGACCAACAATGCCTCTAAGCTGCTCCTTCAGCACACAAAGGGGAGTAGAAACCAGAACCACATTTAGCACATTGCCAGGCAACAGGTTTATTGCCCTGAATATGTCATGTCATAGTAGAACAGTCTTCATGCTGTGATGCATCTCTGCGTCTTGCACAGTTGAGCCTGCTTTAAGGGATACACACTAAACAGCTATGTATTTGCTTGGCCCTGGCTGCATCAGTTTGAGGAGAAAAAGTCTCTCCAAAAGCCTCATTTTAGCCTCCTTACCTAAATTAATTCATTTGTGCCAACTGCGAGAGCATAGAGAGTGGGGTGATTTCTGTGTCCTGTGCCTCTGATTCTTTGTCCTTGTCTAGTTGACTCTAGATGACCCAATTGGTTCAGTATGGTGACAGGGGGCTCCCATCTTGAGCGATTTAAGTGATATTGAGCGAAACTATTAATTCAAGCAAGGGCGTAAAATCTATATACCATTTACTCAAAATAGAGGTTAAACATCTTAACAGTAGCATGATTTTCTACAGCAACAGTACAACTTTTTTTTTCTTTTTATGGTGACTTCTATTGTGTATTGGAGTTGCATAAGAATGGTTTGACTCTCAGTAATGCAAGGTATCTAGCATATACAGGCAAGATTGAATGATGTAGCAGGAAGTTTATAATTTAATTTACTTTGTAGATAAAACTAGCACTGTAGACTGTGTGACTTGGATAATATCCTGTGTAGCCTGTGTCCAAAGAACTTCATTTATCTTGACATTCTGTTTTCTTTTTCCTGGTACATCATAGCCCATGTTATGTCCACACTTCTCACGCTTCTTGATCCTCAGTGAGAAAGTGCAGGTAAGGGTTTCAAGCATTTACTGTCTGAGTGTTCTGACTCCTCTACATTTATTAAAAAAAACTGTCTTTCTTTCTCAGTAGATGCCTCTTTCACTCTCTCTTTCTATATTTCTGCCTCTGTCTGTATTTCTCCCTGTCTCTTTCACATTTATACTTCCCAATTTCTGGTATATCTTTATCTACCTTTGTCTTTTTTTTTTTTTTTCAGTGCATTACTTTGTGTATATGTGTGTCAGTTACCCAAGTCACTTTTCTTCCTTTCTTTTCTTTTCTTTTCTTTTTTTCTTTTCTTTGTGTAGCCAGTGATCATAAAACATAACTCAATGCCACAACCTTTCCTCCCCCCATAGTTGGCCGATCAGAGCCCAACCTAGATGACCTCGGCCTGGCCTTCCTTGATATGGGGATATCCGTGGCGGAGCTGGAGGAGTATGTGAACAACGTGGACTGCCCTCCATTCCCGCACACGGTGCCGAAGATCCCTGTCCCAAGGACTTCTAACTTGAACTTTCTGAAGCCCGGCGCAAGGGAAATTCTCTCACGACCCATACACATTCACGAACATCTCCCACCCATGTACCCCGAGAAGGAAGGTAAGCGGGAAACAGAGCTTTTATTTGTTTGAGTTTTATTTATTTGTGTTTCAGATCTGTTCATATTTTTTATTACTGTTTATTAATTAGGAGTAATAGGATTGTATCAGGTTATTCAGTATTATTTGTCGTTCTCTACTTTTTACTTTTTTTCTTTCTCATTGGCTGTATGTCTTTACTTCATTCACACTGTCTTTGCTTCATTCTTGCTTATTTTCATTTCATCTCTGTTTCATTCTCTCTGTCGTTGGGTTTCACTGTGACTGCCTCTGTTTCTTTCTTGCTCTTTCTATGTTTGATATTCTCACTCAGTCTGTATTGTGTATTCCATTTCATTCTCACTCTATTTCAGGTTTATTATTGTTTAATCTTTCCAGTATCTCACATCATCTGCATTTCATTCATATTCTTATTTTATTTTCATTGCATCTTCATTGTCTTCTCACTTTAGTATTTTTATGCTTACTCTGTCTCTATTTCTTTCTCATTCTGTCCTTATTTCATTCTCACCCTAGTTCTGTTTCACTCTATCTCAGTTTCTTTCTTATTCTGTCTCAGTTTCACTCTCAAACATTCTCTTTCTCTCCACTTCTCTTGTTTCTTTATAACTTTTCCATTCCTAACTCAGTGTTATTTTCCCCCTCTTTTTTTCTTATTTTTACAAGAAAGATATCTTGTGAGAATGATTTGTGGAAATAATATAATCCAGATAAGAAATTCCCTTATAAGGTTTAATCTCATACGGCAAGGTAGTCAAATGTAAATGATTACAGAAAAAAGATGAATTAGTGTATTGACATTTCCAGACCTTTAGAATTTCATAGCAGTTCAGAATCTGTTGGACAGATTAAAAGGTCATGGCATTTTGGCTCAGTTGCTTAGTTGTTTAGATTTCCTGTTGAATTTCTCACTTAGTTGTGGTTAACTTGCTGAAAACTGATTATTGTTTTGTATGCAGGATGTAAAATTTTGGCTATGTTCTCATCTCTTGTACTATCTCTTGTGTCCTTATAGTTTCTTTGTCTCTTTTCTTTGCATTTCTCTCTCTCTCTCTCTCTCTCTCTCTCTCTCTCTCTCTCTCTCTCTCTCTCTCTCTCTCTCTCTCTCTCTCTCTCTCTCTCTCTCTCTCTCTCTCTCTCGCATAATAGATCATTACACTGATTGCTGGCCATTCTCAACAGAGGAAGAAGTGGACATGAAGGTGAACACGAGCCTGGACGATGTGCTTGGGGAAGGGTCATCCTCCCCAATGGCCTCCCCGCAGCCAGCAGCCAAGAGGTCATCGGACAGTGATGTATCACCAGCCAAGAAGCCAAAGTGAGGGTTTGACTGTGTTTTCGTGATGTGTTTCTTATTTTATGCTGTTATGACAAAAAAGGATGTCTTGCATTGGAAAGTGTCTATTAACACACACTCGCATGCATTTGCACACACACACACGCACACACTCATATGCACACACATACACGCACACACATACACGCACACATTTACACGCACACAGTTATATGCGCACACTTATATGCACACGTACATGTACATTTGCACACGTACACATGCACATGCACATGCACATGCACACACATATATGCACATGCACACACACATATATGCACATGCACACACACATATATACACATATGCACACACACATGCACACGCACACACATGCTCGCGCACACACACACACACACACACACACACACACACACACACACACACACACACACACACACACACACACACACACACACACACACACACACACACACACACACACACACAAATGGAAGTGGTGTTGCGAGAACTTCTTTTATCTTTGGCAGCAGCTTGGTTCCCCCAAGTTTCCTCTGTTTGACAAAAATAGAATGCCTAAAGGATTAATAGTTTCATTATCTCATCTCTGTCCTTCCAAATACTTTAAATTATTCTCTAGAAATGTTTCCACGTGCTTTTTCTTTGCCTTCAAGGTGTAGGATAGTCTCATACTTTTGCCCATTTTGTAATTTACATGGTAGGCCTTGATGATTGCATATTACAGGCCAGAGGTAGTTTTTTTTTTCTTCTTCTTCTTCTTTTTTTATATCATGGGACGTATTCTTAACACATGGCACAAGGGACAATAGGGTTACTAAAACTAGCTAAGAGGAATGCTTAAACCAGAGTAATTACTCTGTGCTGCTTGAATGACCACATGGCATAGACTTGCCTATGTGTTCTGTGTCATTGGGATTACATGCTGCCACCGGTTGACTTGATAGCATTAAATTGTTTTTGTGATATTGATTAATAAACTGCATTACTTGGTTCACCATTCAGATACAAATACTTCCTGCTCAAGGAGGATGTTTATTATTTTATTTGTTGATGCATTTGTGTATTTCTGTACTATTGTATTTCCTGCATATCCTCTAATAATTTCCCTACTCTGCCTAGGTACTCCCTAGATGATGAGGGGCAGCCCGTCCGTGAGATCGTCAGTGTGATGATGACGACATCTGGCTTCATATCTTCCGCTCGTGAGGGCAAACTTCCTGAGTCCAAAGTACCCAACATCCCCATGGCTACACCCAGGAGCTCTTCACCCTCTGCTGCCAGTGCTCTTAGCAAGAAAAAGCTTGCAGTGGAGAAGCTGATCCGGCAGAAGAACAATCAGGGTGGCCCACAGAAGCCTCCCCCCTCCAAGTCACGTCCTACCAAGGACAAAGGCCCCTCCAAACCTGGCAGTAAGCCTAT